TTTGGTTAAAGCATAAACCATATTAAATAAAAATAGTACAACAAAATTTTCACTTGAAAAACATCACAAGTATTAAACAAAAATCGCCATGCACACAGTTATTATTAATGAATAAATCAAATTGGGTTGGACATGATGTAGTCTTTCANCCAAAAATCACCATGCACACAGCTTTTATCGCCAATGTATATCGTTCTGTTAATATAGAAAAACCATTGGGGCTATTCAAACGAGTTAGCGACAAATATTTTACATTTTTATTTAACTTTCATTGAGATAACATCTTGAATTACTCATATTAATGACTAAAGTCCATAGTAAACTAAACATCCACATAAAAGTCCACAGATATATATTTCTACATATGTATGAATACTTACCGTATTAAATACGCACCATTACCTTTAAGCCTTAGTTTAAGTTTTTAATTAACACGAATAAAAGACTTTTCGGAATGTACAAAACTATTAACTAGCCTATTTAATCAGGTAGTTCGTTTCATGTATTAGTCTCATTTTTATTTTCATATACATATGTACATATACAGTTGCGGTTAATAAGATAGTAGCAAAATTCGAAATGATATTTCTTGCAACTTATGTTTATATATTTTTAATAATTTTCATTTAAATATAGTTAGATCTATAATAGAAACCTGAAATGATGGTTTGAAAGGTTGCACAAAGTTCACAAAAATTAATTAAACTTAAAAAAGATGTCATCAAAGTTTTTATTCAGAATTTTTATAAAATTTTCGAGTATGCAGTTTCGTAGCTCATTTTAGTATAATAAAGTGCAAGTTTCAAGTCACTAAAAACTACCGTTGATTTTTGAGAGTTTTTTAGATGGTATTGATCAGTTTTTCCATATAACGAATGAACAATGTCTGATTTTATATGGAGGAAAATGCTCAATACCCTCTAAAAAAACTCTCCAAAATCAACGGTATTCTTTAGTGACTTGAAACTTGCACTTTATTATACTAAAATGAGCTACGAAACTGCATACTCGAAAATTTTATAAAAATTCTGAATAAAAACTTTGATGACATCTTTTTTAAGTTTAATTAATTTTTGTGAACTTTGTGCAACCTTTCAAACCATCATTTCAGGTTTCTATTATAGATCGAACTATATTTTAAATGAAAATTATTAAAAATATATAAACATAAGCTGCAAGAAATATCATTTCGAATTTTGCTACTATCTTATTGACCGCAACTGTATATGTACATACATAAATATATGTTTCGATCTATTCAGTCTATGACAAACAATGGAAATCATAAAGTAAAAATACTGAGAATCTTAGGTACATATTCAAAGTTTTTTGTTAATTCTGTACAAAGTTGTTTGAAATGTTAATTTATATGCTCTGTTTTTGAAATTCATAAAAACTAAAGTAGCCTTAAACAAGGTTTATAAACTGAAAAATGTATGAAAACGTCATTTTATAAAGCTCTTTAAACCTACTTTAGTTTTTATGAAAGAAAAATATTCAATACTTCTAAGCTTTTGTGTTTATTATTTTCTCCACCACTGCATATATACTTATATATATATACAGTAATGTGAAAAATAATAAGGACAAGTAGTTTTGACCAGCTTTAACAGCTTGTTATCTAACAACAAGTAAGAAAGTCTAAGTTCGGGCGGAGCCGAACATTAAATACCCGGCGCAAGTATTAAATATATGTTTTCCACCTTTCCGAAAGCTAGCGCTACATGATAAGCCGGGGTGTATACATTTTAAGTAAATTAGCGTCCTTAAATTTCGAAATATTGAAATTTCAAGCATTTCTGAAA